CCCGTTTGTCCCTATACAATGTATTGAGTATTCTTTTTCTCCCAATGATATGTGTACACAAAATTACCATCTATTTGGGGATCTTTTAATCTCTTTACATGTTCCTACACTTTAACATTTTGTAGTGCTGGTCTCCCTTTCTTGATAATAGAATTTTCACAGCCCTTCAAATATTGCTTTTTATTTCAAGTTATTTGCTTTTTCAAGGAACAGCATTTTATAAAAGTAAAACAAAAAATTTTATACTTTCATTATAATTGACTTCTATTTATATATTAATAGCTGCTTTCTGTATAATTCTAAATGCTCCTAGTCACCAAGTATATTTCTTTTTTTTTTCAAGTATATTTCTTTATTCATATCTTTTAGAGTTCTTTTATTTCGCCTTGTGAAGTTTTTTTTTTTTTTTGATATCTCAATGTTTGTTTGTTTTTTTCTTTTTTAACATTTTATTAGGGGCTCATACAACTGTTATCCCAATCCATATACACATCAATTGTGTAAAGCGCATTTGTACATCGTTTCTCAAAACATTTTCTCTCCATTTAAACCCCCGACATTAGGTCCTCATTTTGTGAAGTTCTTTAGTTTACAAAAATTCATGTTTCTTAAATTTATTCTTAAGCATTTTATGTGCTTTAAAAAAACTAGTTTCTAAGTGTTTAATGTTTTCATATATAGTCAAGGTGTTGATTCTTCTATAAAATTTAACTGACCATTAGACTCATTGTTTCTGTTAGTTTTTATTTGGCTCTCGGGGGTTTTTTAGGTATAAAATCACAGGGTATCACGGTCATGTTTTCCCTCTTCTGGTATGTGTACTACGTGTTTAACTCTTCGCTAATTGCATTGTTTAGTTCTTCCAGAGCAATGCTGAGTAACGGTGATGGAGACATCTGTGTTCTGTCTCAAACTCTTTGTTGCTTATCTAGATTTCCTAATTCATTGCAATGCCCATACAGAACTCAAGAGACAATATTCATGATTAAAGGTTCTATTAAGAAAATTAACAGGCAAATGAGAAAGATGCTCAGGATACAGTTGCTCTATCAGGACATACTACAAAGTCCTTTCAGAGTTGCTGAAAATTGCCCATAGGGCATGCCACTGTAAGGTTCAACCGGAAGTCAATCAGCTCAAGCCCCACAGGTCAGTAGCCTGACTCCCTGGATTAAGTGTCCAGAGGCTCCACTCTCCACAGTAAGCCTCAACCCGAAGGCACTCACCCTCATAGGTCAGCAAGCCCAGCTATTCCAATCACTGGTAAGTGCCCAAGCTAGCTGCCTGCCCAACAGCACTGAGCATTCCGTGCTCTGTGGGCCTCCACTCTGTCTCATCTTCTGGCTCCTGGTGTTGCTACTGCTGCTGCTCCTCTGCCGGTCCTCCGAGAGATGTCAAAGCTGTCTTCTGGATCAAGGAGGTCCACTCTACAGGGATCTCCTGGTCCAAAAGACACACCACTCCTGGCTCTTGCTGGTAGATTTCCCCCTCCTGCATCTCAGAGGGCTCATTTTATACCCAGCAGAGGGCAGTAACAATGTACCTGGTAGGAATGACTCACAGGGGCATGCCTTATCAGAGTGTTGAGACAAAACACCTTCTACCCAGACCCTTACAGGAAAAGGTCATTTGGTGGGAGCTAGAGACTAAATAACTCAGAGCCCCTGCACATCATTCTCATGTTTTATTTCTAGGCAAACAGTTCTGATAGCCTGCTATTTTATCATGGATCAGGAATCTTGTTTTTGGTTAGAGGTGTGTGGATTTTTTAAAATCCTATTGACAAAGTATCCTAATGTTTCAAGGTGCTATTACCAGTTTGATCCTATGTTGATAGATTTTTTTTTAAAAGCTCATTGCTTGAAGCAGACACCCCATTACTCATTAAGCTGGGCACCATCCAATTCTGGTCACAGTAGAGAATTGGCATTCAGAATCAGAACCTAAACTCAGTCCTCCAGATAAGCAATAGGCCCTTCCACCATTACTCTTCCCTCTCACCCCAGGGAATCACTAGTAAATGTTGGTCTTTGAACATGCACCTTCTTCCTGTCTCTCTATATAAGTGATGTTATAAAATCTTCATCCTCTTTTCTGCTCCACTTATTTCACTCAGCATGCTGTTTTCAAGCTCCATGCATGGTATAGTGTGTGTCAAGACTTCATGTCTCTTATTGGCTAAGTGGTGTCCGTTCCATGTGTGTGTCACATTCTGCCTCTGTAACCCTCCGTCCATGGGCATGCCCATCGGGCTGTTTGCAGCGAGTTCCCCAGTGATATCAGATGCTCTCACATCTTGCTGGGTCCTATGTTCTGTCTTCAGTTAGTGCTTTTTCCCACTGTACCATGTAAATTTCCACCAGCAAAGGGTAAAAGGTTCAAGTTTCCCCCACATCCTCAACATTTGTTGGTTGTTGTTTTTGTTTGAAAATATGGCTTGAGAAGACAGTAAAGAGTTACAGTGAAGTCTGCAAAAACCTTGAGTTGGAAAACCAAAGAGGAGGAACATGTGGGACATTTCCAGCTGAAAGAACTGAAGAAAAAAATTCAAATCCTGGGTTGCAATTTTGAAGGATTCTATGGGCAAAACATTGAATGATGCAAGACACATTAAAAGAGGAATCCACAGAGTAACTATCCCCAAAAGAATTGGTCGACACTCATCCATTTCAGGAGAAAGCGTGTGATCGAGAACCAATGGCATTAAAGGAAGAAGTCCAAGATGAACTGAAGGCATTGGTGAAAATCAAAGCTCCAACAATTGAGGAATACCGATTGAAATGTTTGAACAAGCTCAGGCAGTGCGGGCCTCACTCAATGTTTATGCCAAGAGATTTGGAAGCCAGCTACTGGCCAGCCAACTGAAGAATATCATTTGTACCCATTCCCCCAAAACATGATCAGACAGAATGTGGAAATTATCTAATATCACACACATAAAATTCTGCTGAGGGTAATTTGAAAACAGTTGCATC